CCAGTGTTTCACTTCATCTTACTCCTACAGGCCGTGCTGATGCACTTTCCCCAAACCCCATTTCCCCTTCTTCACTCTGCTTCGCTTCTGCTGAAATGAAGCATCTTCCTTTTCCTGATGCGTTGAACCGGGTATTGGAATCGGAGATGGGTTGTGTGGGTTATTTGCAGCAGCAGAATGATTGTTTTCGGAGTGAGTATGGGGCGTTGAGTAAAGATTGTGATTCTGATTTTGGTTGGGCTTCTGAGGCTTTTGGGTGTTTACCTGAAGCGGTGAATCTTTGGATTGGGAATGAGTTGTCTGAGACTTCGTTTCATAAGGATCATTATGAGAATATTTATGCTGTTGTCTCTGGGGAGAAGCATTTTTTGCTTCTTCCTCCTACTGATGTTCATAGGATGTATATTACTGACTATCCTGCTGCGGAGTACCACTACTTACAGGTCCCGTAGTTCACCTTACTTGTTATGCGCTTGAACTTTGGTTCTGTGAAATTTTTAGGAAATGAATGCATTTGTAGAGCTTCTTTGTGGTTTTTATATTTGTTGATGTGTTTCTATCAAAGTAGCAATTTTGCTCCCATTCTTATCTTTCTTGTATTAATGCATTATGTCCACTGTAGTTTTATTGGGTTTTATTATATGAATTCTAGGAATGCAGTTGTAGCTTTGTGGTGTGTGTGTTGAGGGATTCAGATAGAAATATCCATTTGGTGTATTTCTTTTTGGAGAACTTGAATTTCAGCTGAAGTATACTGGCTTGTTCTTTGATGTATTTATATGTTATGCAGTTGAAGTTTGTCGCGCTTTGATATGTGAATTCTTGCTCTAGGATTGAATGCCTTTGTAGCGCTGTATGAATGAAAATGTTAGAAAGACGATTTTTCAAATGTAGAAAGTTGTCATTCTTCTTTTCTAGAATTGGACCAAAAGAAAAGAGTATCACATAAAAACGCAAAGAGGACATTTTGTAATCATATGAATAGTGGTTTTTGAGGCAATCCAAGTTGCAACCCTTGTTCATTCTTGGAAATAGGAGCAAATTAACCTGTTGCTCTTAAATTGACAAATTTTTATAGTTGATGCAGCAGTGTACCACTGCCCAGGTTCCATTTTTAACATGTATTCTGGAAGTTGAGCACTTTTGTAGTTCTTTCTGATGTATATGTTTAGCTGAGTTTCCATGCCTCATGGAATTAGGAATTTGGTTATAATTCGTCTCGGAAAACTTATGTTTCAGTTCAATGTACTGTTCTACTGTGCTGACATGTGTTCTGCTGCTTTCTGGGTTTGTAGGATACTGGGGAGTTCTCTTTGGAACTGGAGGAACCAGTTAGGAATGTCCCATGGTGCAGTGTTAATCCATACCCTTCACCGGAGTTGAAAGAGAAGGAAATGACCAAGTTTCCTTTATATTTCAATGGACCAAGACCATTTGAAGTTACAGTCAAGGCAGGCGAGATTCTTTACTTGTAAGCTTTCACGATTAGCTTTACTTATCTCTTTATTTATTCAGTTTTGATATCCCCTTCTGAACAATAGGTTTAATCATTGCATTACATTGTTGATGTTTCTCAAAGCAGCTTGGGCATTTGCCTCACTTTTCATCCCCGTTGTAGGAAAAGAAAAAAAATGGTTCAATGAGACACGTCTCCATTTTATTAGGTGCTAGTTTAAGAGTTATTACACAATATCTTTGTAATGTAAGTAACAATTTCGTTGCAAAAAGGGCTGGAATTTCGAAGCTCAAACAATTGATTGAACTTACTTTATTCTCACTGCAATAATAAAATCCAATTAACAAAATTAGATGAAGATAGTCCAATGGCTAGCTGAAACTTGTTTTGGCTAATGGATAGGTATTAAGAACAATCTCAATATGATACGCCTGTAGTCTTCTTTCATTATTCTCTCTTGACAGCTCGAATGCCATGCCACTTTCTACTAATTAAGCATCTAGAATTAGTATCTTTACTTCATTAATCAGCAAAGATGCTCTTTCCATTGAGTTGTGGGAGTGCTTCCATTGTTCCCAAATACCTTTGCACAGTCTTTTCTTATAATCTTAATCTACTCATCTTCCTCTTTATTTAGACAGTTACAAATTGTTCATTGATCATGTTTGTATAATCTCATATGGTGCAATACTCATCCTCTTCTCCTCGCATCAAACAGGAAAGTGAACCTATATCTTTCCTTGGTGGAACGATAACAACTATACAGCTGAAATCAAAATTGGAAATTGACCTGAGTAGTTTTTTTGAGTGTATGTGTTTAGTAGGAATTCATTTTACAGTAATTTGGATGGATAGGGCTCAAATTATCAAAAACAGACCTCAAATTTCAGCTTTAGATTCTTGTTATTTGGCAATTCAGACTGGCTCTTGATTTTCCTTTTTAGAACTTCAGTGATTTGGTACAGTTTTCAGTTTTTACAAAAAGTTACTGAACAAACAAAAAATCCTGGCCAGCACCTGCTCTGCTAATAGTGAGTCGGAAAGATTTTTAGGCATCTTTAGAACTTTTTGTTTGTGCATTTCATGATGCTGTTTGAGTGATAGCTGTACTTAGTGGTGTTAATTAACCATGTTATTCTTTTATGCAAATTATCCAGGCCAAGCATGTGGTTTCACCATGTTAGACAGAGCTCAGACAGCAGAGGACTCACCATTGCTGTAAACTACTGTAATACTCTTCTCCTATTTAAACAAAAAACTTAGAAATGCAGAGAAGTGAAAAGACAAAGAAAGCTTAATATCTCTCTCTTTACTCCTTTCCAAGGATACTGGGAACTAAACTGCTGTTGTCTGACAGGGTATGACATGCGATTTGATATCAAATATGCTTACTTCAACTTCTTGCAATTGCTGCCGCATCCCATTCTGTGTAATCCTGCATCATCTGAAAAATTAGGCTTGGAGTCGCAACATAATTCATCTATACACAACTCTGAGGATGAATCCAGCATGGACGATGTCACTGCTTCTGCAAATGGTAATTTAGTACATCATCCTTATACTGCAGAAAAATAAGTAGCACTCACTGTTACGAGCCCGATGGCGAAGAGAAGCAAAGGAAATTGAGTCCACTGAGATCCATTTCTTCAAGCATCGTTTGTTTCCCTTTTGTATCCTGGAGAAGTCTCAGAGTGTTTTTGACCTGAGATGGGAAAGTTGAAATGAAACTTTCCCGACATGATTGCCCTCAAGGTGAGCCCTCAATGTGCCATTTGATATCCAAGTGACACACTACCCGTGATGGGGATTCAGGTGTCCTAATCTGTTGTTAAGTTTAGTTAGCATGTTATCAGCATGGAAAGGTCTAATCTGATTCGTTTGAAGAAGCCATAGTTCTGAAAAGGCTTGACCTTTATAGGTTTTATTTTTTCAAGCCATGCCAATCATCACATGTCATGGAAACGCGACATTAGGATGTCCCCAAATCTCCTCAAAAGACGCAGAGCCAGAGCTCATGGCTGATGCCATAGATTAGAGCAGAGTGTACTATTTTGAGCTTACAACAGAAGTGCACAAATCACATTCCAATATTTGACTATCTATTGTATGCATATTTACTGATTTATCTGGGATGAAAGTGCCTTCTGGTTTGTGTAACATTTGTTAAAAATGAATAAAGCCAAAGCTGGGACACTTGTTATAAATTCATCATTTTGCAGTTTACAACTCACTCATATACGCCTTGCTAATTTAGAGGTCTCGGATTCAAACATAGTATTCTAATGCCCCACTTTCAAGACATGCTTTTTTCTTTTTGTTGTGTCCCAAAAGAAAGAGTGTGGAGTTAAAAGGGTAAAAGAATTTGTCAAAAATTTTATTGGGCATATCAATTTTTTTTTAAAACCAAAACGGTAAAATCGCTCACGATGTAGCGATTTGTACCTTTTGAAAAAGCGATTGCCTTTTTTTAAAAAAAATAAAATAAAATTAAACAAATCGCTCCACACGGGTGATTTTCAAAATAAAAATAAAAAATTCTTTTATTTTTTTATTTATTTTTTGCTTTATTTAAAAGAAAAATTGATTCAATTTTTTTTTTAAATCATTGGCAACGATTTTTAATTAGTTTTTTTTAAAAAAAAATCAAATCGCTGTAAAGGCAGCGATTTACACTAAATTTATATTTTTTTTTAAAAAAAAATCAATTAAATGCTGCAAAAAAATTAACCGATTAAATTAAGTTTTCAAAAAAAATAAAAATTTAAGTGTAAAGCAAAAAATGTGTTAATTAAGAATTCATAACATAATTAAGAATTCGTATCAATTATTACTAATTAGTATTCATTTGTTCTAATTTCCGTTTATAACTTCTCAATATTAACTTTCCAGAAGATTAGTTCTGAAATTGAATTGCCATAAAATGCTCATTCATTTATGCATGTGAATGTTAATACGAGGGGGAGATAATTAAAAATAATTGAAAAACTTTATAAAAAGTATAAAAAACTCATTCATTCATTTGATGGAAGTCGCTGCTTCTGCAGCGACTTATAGATTTTTTTTAATTTTATTTTGAAAATCGCTCCGTGTGGAGCGATTTGTTTAATTTAATTTTTTTTTTGAAAAAAAGGCAATTTTAGGAAATCGCTGCTATGGCAGCGATTTCACTTTTTCAAAAGGTATAAGTCGCTAGCGTTTTTACCGTTTTGGTTTTAAAATAAATTGATATGCCCTTTTGTAATTTTTGACAATTTTTTTTACCCTTTTAACTCCGCACTCCCCAAAAGAATATCAAGAAATAATTCTTCTTTAAATTTTTCATTGAAATCGGATAATTCATAATCACATAAATATTTTTAACTTATTTTAAATTAGATATCTCAAAATTTCTTTTACTAACACCACTAGGTTTATATTTTATGTTGCAATTATTTTTAACCCCTCCTATCAACATATTTCACATTTTACTATTGCCTAGATATTAAGTGGTTATTTGGACATGAAAATTACAGTGTATTGGAGTTGGTTTTGAATTTCTGAATGATTTAGAGTGAAAATAATTTCTTTATCTGAAATTTCGAAAAATTATAGAAAATAATTTTGTGTTCAAATAGTTTTCCAATATAATATTTGAAAAAAACCGAAAAATATCTGTGGACAAACAGCCACTAAAACTGTGAAGTATTTATAGTTGATTCCAACTGAATTTGGCGCCCAGTGATTTTCTTCAATATGAATTCTAGTAAACAATCCTTCTAAAAATCAATGGCGATCACATCATCCTACCCAAAACCACCATTGTTGCATACTAAAATTACTTCAAAAAACTCCAAGAAATGGATACCCATCACTACCCATTCCATTTCCAACACCCCCCTTCAATTCCAATTGCCTCTACATAAACCTCACTACAAAATACACCAACCCATTAAGCCAGAAATCAAGAAAACTACAGACCCAAGTTGCACAATCTCTGATGTTTTAAGGCTAATGGATAGTCTTGGTTTTAACATACCAGTTGACGTATACGTTTCCCTTATCAAAGAATGCACTGAATCTCGTGACCCTCTAAACGCGGTCGAAGTCTATGAGCATGTCTGTAAAAGTGATGTAATTCCTAGCCTGCCATTACTGAATCGTTTGTTGCTGATGCTTGTGTTATGTGGTTGTTTTGAGCAGGCCCGCCAACTGTTTGATAAAATGCGTGTGAGAAATTCTCAGTCTTGGGCTGCGATGATCGCGGGGTGTGTTGAAAATGGAGAGTGTGTAGGAGCTTTGCGTTTGTTTATGGAGATGCAGAGTGAGGCGGGAAACTTGTGTAAGTGTGGTGATTTAATTGATGATGGGATATTGGTGTGTGTTCTTAAGGCTTGTGTGGAATTGATGAATTTGGAATTTGGGAGACAGATTCATGGATGGTTATTGAAGTTGGGTAATTGTGAAAGTATGGTTTTGAATAGTTTTTTGATCAAATTTTATGGGGAGTTTGGTTATCTGGAAAGCGCGGATAATGTGTTTGATCATGTTCCACATTGTAATACAGTTGTTTGGACAGCTAGAATTGGCAATTTGTGTAAAGAGGAACAGTTTGAGGGCGCAATAAGGATTTTCAGGGAGATGGTAAGTGAAGGAGTAAAGAAAAATAGTTTTACATTTTCAAGTATTCTTAAAGCGTGTGGGAAGTTGAGGGATGCTGGATGTTGTGGTCAACAGATTCATGCTACTTCCGTCAAGGTAGGACTTGATACGGATAGTTATGTGCTTTGTAGCTTGATCGACATGTATGGTAAATATGGGTTGCTAAAGGATGCTCGGAGGGTTTTTAATGCGCGAGAGGACAAGAGCAATATTGCCTGTTGGAATGCAATGTTGATGGGATGTATACAACATGGTTTCGGTGTTGAAGCCATGAAAGTTCTCTATGAGATGAAAGAAGCTGGTTTGCAGCCACATGAATCCTTGATTAATGAAGTCTTGTTGGTTTGTGGCAGTAGTAATATCGAGAAAATGAATGCCTGACTTAAGAATATATCTTAGTTTCCATGAAGATGATTTTTCATGGAATACAATGCAGGCATCAACTGGCACGGAGTTAGCCGGGGCTTCTTCCTCGAGTCCTGTCATGATCACGCATTCAACACCATTGTATTGGCTAATCTCTAGTTTCCTTGATGAGTTTGTTGCATTTGAAGTATCCACAAGGGTATGTATGTAATAACGTTCCTAAGAGATGTTAAGCAATCTTGCACATGGAATACCTCTTAGTTTCCCATGAATATATGAAGATGATTTGCAAGATCAATGATCAACACACTGGCTGATATCTCTAGCTTCGTTGATGTCATCAGCTTGACGAGTTGTTTGCATATCAAGGATCAACAAGGGTATGTATATAATAATGCTCTGTGGAGTTGTGAAACAAGTAATAGCACTATACTTTACCACATTCGACATGTGGCCGAGCTTACATATGCTAGAACTTTTTGTTAATACAGTCTATATGGCACAGAAATGCAAGTATATTACAAATATCCAAATATTGGTTGTTGAAAATTTTAAGTTAGTTCTATGATCTTTGATCCTGAAATCATGTAGCTGTTATGATTTAGTATGACAACGGATCAGTGGGGCAACAAGTTATTGCTTGATGATTTGGTGACTGACCTTGCAGTGCATAGACTTACATCGCTCTGGAAGAACTCGAGCATATGGTACTACTGGACTTGGTAATGCAGGAGAAGTGGAGAACCCTAATAATGAACGCGATCAGATTTTGGCAAATCCAAGACTAAGCAGATATACTTGTTCTTGCGGTGGCATTAATCAACTGATGGTTATTGTGAGATTTCTGTCTACACAATCTCTAGATATATATATGAGCATTATCATAGTTGTTCGTGTGCTCGAATCTAATTTAGTTCATTTGCAAGCTAGGGATGCTGAATTGTGAGAAGGAACTAAAGGAAACCTTAAGTAGTTGGATGCACTCAAGATCAGTGTTCTAATGTTGATTATATTTACAATTTGTGGTTGCAAAATGATACCTTGTTTATACATATCCATGAGAGTAATATTATTCACATATATGTATAATTTACATGTCAAAATATTTTGCAGTCTTTTATAAGATATTAATACATGTAATGTTTGGTACGTGGGATAAAATATGTAATCTCAAAATTATTTTATCGTGCGTTTGGTTAGAGGAATTAGTTCGGTTGATGGGGAGTTCTTCCAATAATCTACCTAGAGATAACTGGGGAATCACAAATTAATTGGTAGTACGTTCAACCCCACCATTTGGAAGAAATTTCCTCAAGTGGGCTGGCTTGATCAGAGGTGGACCGTGGATGTATTATTAAACGTACGAGTTCAGTTGAAGTTCAGTATTTAAATTTTGATCGATAGTCTGCAAGGGCATGATTGAGTGGTTGAGAGATGGGTCTTTCATGTGGAATATCTGCTATTAAGTTATACTCTAGTTCGATTTACATGTGTGGTTTGCAAGCTATCACATAGTAAAATTATCGCAAAGTGCTTTCTCAAAAGACAGAGACTGTGATAGAGATTGTAGATTTTTAACCGAACAGATTGGATTGAATTGAGCAAAAAACAAAATTATTTTAGCCAATCAAGTGGTCCAAGAAAGAAGCCAATCTCAGTTAAAAAGACATGCATCAAAAGACCTAGTCACAATCAAAATTTAACATAATAACAATCTTACATATTTTTCCTGGCTAGTTAAAATGCCAGCCTCTAAAGTTGGTAGGGTTGTTATCGATATTTGTTATTCCCTCCGTCTCAATTTTTGTATTATAATTAAAATTTTGAGATTTTAATTTTTAAATATAAATTCAATATAAAAACTTAGAAATTTTGAAATAAAATTTATATATTAAAAATTATGTAAATTTTTTACTAGAATAAAAACGAAATTTAATTAATTCTCAAAATTGCAATTATGCAACATGGACAAAGGAGTAGTACTATACTAATAGAAAGCTGTCCATTTGACCTTACATTTTCACCTGTTGATATTTTTAGTATAATGTTGTCCTCTTTTAGTGAAACGACAATGCGAAACATAAATTCAAAATTTGAAATTTTAGTATAATTTACTGTTTAGAAATTTCTTAGAAGTTGGAATTATTCGACCTAATGCTACCAGATTTAAAAGAAATCATGTGTTATATACTAGGTCTTCCTCACCTTGTGAATAATAAAATCGAGTTGATTTATCAAATTCTCATTCAACTAGTAGATATTATTTTAAATAGTCATATTCTGTTTAAAATGAAAATGAAAAAAAGGTGATGTTTATACTCTTAAATAATATCTATAGAGAAATAATCATACGAAAAATCAACCATTTATAATCTGATCACATGTCTATTATTGTAGTGAAAGATTCACGAGGCTATAAATAAAAATATTATTTTGAAATATAAGTGATTTTCGGGTGTTTGGTTAGCGAAAAAAGAAAACAATCTTTTCTCTTAATTATCGGAACGTCTTAATTACGTATAGATATAGCTATTCTAATCGATACTCCATCCCTTTTTTTATTTGACAAATTTTAATTAGACACACCTCTTACGAGACAATGACTGGTATAACGAATTATACTTTTACCTATATTAATTGTTAGGATTTTAAATATATTTACTCATTACATTTTCAAAGAATTAACTCAATGTTAAATAAATTAAGGATATTGTCCAAAAATTACAGTAATAAAGAAATTGATTGGAAAATGTCAGACGAGTAAATAGAGATGGAGGAAGTATTTAGCGTTCAAAATATTAACAATCATAATTAATTAAGTATTTTTCTGTTAGTTTGTTAATAAATGATGTTATAGTTAGTTAGTGAGTTAATTATTTGGTTAGATATTTTTCTTCTTCCTCCAATATAGTTGTTAGATTTTCACACATGTATATAAGAACTTGTTAGTGATCAATAAAGGTAAGAATTCTCATTTTACCAAATCACGTTTTTTTTCCTATTATTATCTTCTCTCAATTGACGGTTATGGCTTCCATGAATTCAGCCATGGTTAAGCTCTCATCGTCTGCATAATTCTTGATATGGTATCAGAGCAAGATTAGTTGATTTGTTCTTTGACTTCTGCTAGCTACATTGTTGTTTGGATCGTCTTTTTCGGTTGATACAATTTTTTGAGTTTTCTATATTAGAGCTCAAGTTTTCTTTGTTGTTCTAGTCTAGATCTGAAATTCGGTTGTAGTCTCTCTTGATTAAGATGATTTGTGATAGATCTGTTGAAAAATTGTCAATGGATGTCGATGATAATGCATCTACTTCTGAGAGAATGAATATATCTGGAAATGACACTAGCAGTGCCCTGTATGTACATCCTTCAGATAACCCAGGGATGATACTTGTTCCAACTCAATTTGATGGAGCGGGATATCAATCCTGGAGAAGAGGAGTATTGAGAGTTTTGTCAGTGAAAAATAAATTAGGCATTATCGATGGAAGTTGTAAGAGGCTAAATCTCAATTCACCTCTTTTACGACAATGGCAAAGGTGTGATGATATGGTAACATCCTGAATTTTGAACTCATTGATTAAGGAAATCTCAGATAGTGTCGAGTATGTGAATGATTTTCCTGAACTCTGGAAGGAATTAGAAGATAGATATGATCAAACAAATGGGACAAAAATGTATCAGATACAAAAAGAGATTAATGATCTTACTCAAGGAGTATTGGATATCACAGTGTACTATACAAGGATGAAGAAATTATGGGACGAATTGAATACTTTAAGTGCAAAAAATCAATGCAGTTGTGTATGTGTGTGTGGTGCTAGGGATGGTCTGCATAAAGCTAAACAAGATAGGCATTTAATTCAGTTTCTTATGGGACTGAATGAAGTATACACAGTGATAAGGGGGAAACATTCTCATGATGAACCCACTCCCTTTCATGGGACAAACTTTCTCACTGTTGATTCAAGAAGAGAAACAAAGAGAGTTCAAACCTACTGGTCGAGTGCCTACAGATTTAATTTCTTTGAACACAAATGTTGTTGGCAATAAGAGAATTTTCAGGACAAATTATCAAGGAAATAACTATGTAGTGGTAGTAACAGTTCAGGTTGAAATATCAATGGCAATGGTAGTAGTAGAAATGTTATAGTATGTGATTACTGTAAAAGAATCGGACACATTAAAGATAAATATTACAAGCTGCATGGTACCCTCAAGGTAACAACAATCAGAATTATAGGCTAGGAAACAAGAATATTGGTAAGAATTTCAGGCAACATAATCCAAACTTCAAAGGGAAATGAGTGGTAGCAAATGTACATGGTACTACAAATGACATGATGTCTACTCATGAAGAGGAACAAATACAAAGTAACAATCATTCAAATATTAGTTTTACAAAAGAGCAATATGGACAGATTATGAACCTGCTACATAATTTCCAGAATGAGAATAAAGGAGAAGATGTCAATGCTTCTAATGTTGCTACTGGATCAATGAATTTTGCAGGTCTTGTGGTTTGTTCTTTCTCTATTGATTTTGACAATCTTTCATGCAAATATTTTGAATCAAGTGCTGTTATGTGGATTATAGACTCGGGGGCATCAAACCATATAACTTTTAACAGAACCACTCTAGTCAACATTAAAACTTTACCTTTTCCTATAGTAGTTTCACTCCCAAATGGATGCAAAGTCAAGGTAACAGTATTTGGGGATATACCAGTCACATCTAATATCATTTTACATCAAGTATTGTATTTACCTTCTTTTAAGTATAATCTAGTTTCAATTCATTCCTTAACCACTTTCGAAATGCATAGTCTTGTTCACTAATGCATTGTGTATGTTGCAGGCCTCTTCAGTGAAAAGGCCTCAGGTGATTGGTAATAGCAAGGATGGGCTTTATTTCTTGTGTGCGAGATGTTTGAAAAACTCTAGTAATACTAATGCAAGTCAAGTATGTTGTTGCTTTTCTAACAATAGACTTTCTTGTGATTCTACTTCTGCTGTCAAGACTTATCATACAAATCAGTGTAAGATACCTACTTCTAGTGCAAATAAACTTCATAATTTTCTCAATTATGTAACTCTTGTGTGTACTTTTACTCCTAATAATAGTAATGTCTTGTTTGATCACAGTTCTTATAATAAAACTAAAGACAATGTGAATTTGTTGTGACACAATAGACTTGGCCATATACCTTTTGTTAAAATGAGGAGTATTAGTACATTACCAGCCAATTTTTCTCCTAAACAATCTTTTTCTTGTAACATCTGCCCAATGAAAAGACAATCAAGATTGCCTTTTAGTCACAGTAAAAGCCAAACGAAATCCATTTTTGAACTGCTTTATATTGATTTATGGGGACCATATCATGTGTCTACATATGACAATTACAAGTACTTCATTACACGGGTAGATGACTATAGCAGATCGACTTGGACACACCTTTTAAGTACCAAAAGTAATGCTTTATTTCATAAGAATGGTGGAAAATCATTTCAACACCGCACCATTAGATCAGACATTGGACTGGAATTTACCAGTAATGAGGCAAACCAATTATTCTTAAGCAAAGGCATCATTCATCAGAAAACCTTTCCATACACACCACAACAGAATAGTGTGGTGGAAAGAAAATATAAGTACTTGTTAGAAACAGCCAGAGCACTTTTGTTTCAATTTAAACTACCTATAAGGTATTGGGGAGAATGTGTATTGACAGCTACACACATCATTAATAGGCTTTCTTCAAACCATCTAAAAAATAAATGTCCTTATGAATTGCTGTACAAGAAAAAACCAGACTATAACCATCTTAAATCCTTTGGATGTCTTTGCTATCCCACTATACCAAAAATGTTTAGGGATAATCTTGAACCAAGAACTACTCCACATATTTTTTTGGGATATCCTTTTGGAACAAAGGGTTACAAGGTGATGAGTCTGGCCACAAAGAAAATACATGTCTTTAGGGATGTGATCTTTCATGAACATATCTTTTCTTTTACTTTGTCATCTAAAAATTCACATTTCCTTCTGTTTTGAGGTCTATTCCTTCTACTGATTATACTGAATTAGACTCATGTGATG